TCAGCAGAGCGGGACAGTATTTCATGCCGGCACACTGCCTGCAACTTTACAAGGCGCAAGTTCGGCCTCACATGGAATACTGTTCCCATCTCTGGGCAGGGGCTCCCCAGTGCCAGCTCCTTCCACTTGACCGCATCCAACGCAGAGCTGCTCGAATCGTCGACCGAGCCCTTTCCGATCGGCTCGATTCATTGGCACTGCGAAGGGATGTTGCATTCCTTTGCATTTTCTTTCGCATCTACCATGGGGAGTGCTCTGAGTACCATCAGGCGGTAGTCACTTACCATCAGGTGAGCCGCATGCTCGTTTGCCCCCTCTCCTATAAAAAAAAAATACTGTTTCCTGAAAAGAAATACGTTTCTTTTTTGTTGTTTTCTTTCAAATTTATTCGCATTTCTTGGCTCCATTCACCTTCTGAAAATTATATAACTTTTAGTCGACTTTAAATAAAGAATGAGGTTTACAATTCGATTGTATTTTTTTTTTCTATTTACATGTACATTTATATGTTACGAAATATCTACAGCAATAGACCACCCATTTTTATATTTTTTTTGTAGAATAGGTTTATAGTTAAGAGGTGGTCCCAAAAAATATGAGAAAAATCCACCCTTAACGTTGCCAAAATAAGGGATGAAGTTTTCAATGTAACTATTTAGACAAAATTAAGATTGTGATATTCCTTAGTCCACTCAAAAGTGCTAAAACTAACATTAAATAAAGAATTAAATGATTTTACATTATCTATATCTGTTCCAAAGTTTAATTATAATCGGTTTGGCCATTCTGTAGATTAGCGTGGACAGACAACAGAAAAACATTTCAAAAATGATATTCATTTCAAAATAGTATGTAAATAACTCCTTGAGCTTAATAGAAGTCAGTTATTTCGATATAACAGAGAGACTCAATTACTCAATATAATTTATATGTATATGTATATTACACGCATTACGTTTATCTATGTAATTTTTTTATAGGATCGGGACAAAAACGAGCACACAGTCCACCTGATGGTAAGTGGTTGCTGTGGCCCATAGACATCTACATTTATCCTCGTTTACGAATCAAAATGCAGATGCGTTGTCAGACGTGAGGACTAACATAGAAAGCCTCTTTTCCAGTAAAAAAATGGTCTCCGGTTCTCTACACTCACCATACGAAACACAGCAGCATTAAGATGCTATTTTACGCTGGTATTCTGTGAGAGCGTGGTCCTTCCCCGGTCGAGTCGACCCATTCTTGCTACAACTTTACTACTAATATAGCTGCAGCATGGCTCTACCACGTATAAAATGTAATATTTATGAATAAATAAAACTTTGTAGTTAACCAATTTTGTATTAAAGTGATGACAATATATTGAATTCATAATTATAATTAAAATGTTTGTGCAATCAATTTCAATATAAATTATTTAGAATAACTCAAAAACTATTGGTCAGAATTATTTGATCAAATTTATATGAACCACATGACACCAGCTTTTTTTAAAAAAAGAATCATCGAAATCAGTTCACCTAGAAATATATTATAGGGTAACACACATAAAAACATACAGTTAAATTGAGTATCTCCTCCTTTTTAAAGTCGGTAGAAAATAAGCAGTACCAGTTACTCGACCGAGTCAGTAATTCATTATTGGGGCGATGTATACGCTTTTACAACAAAATTCCAGAAAGTACACAAAATTTGACCTGCTCAAAGTTCAAAAAATTTATTAAACCAAGTTTATATAAAAAGGTTATTATAATAGTAAGGAATTTATCTTCTTCTTCTTCGAGTGCCTCTCCGACTAGCGAAGGTTGGCAGTCAGCTTTGAATACTCCTTCTTGTTCTTCGCGAGGCTAAAGTGCTCGGCAGCACTCCTGATTCCCGTCCATTCTCGGATGTTACGCAGCCAAGACTTTTTTCTGCGACCAACAGCTCTCCTTCCGGCAACCTTTCCCATCATAATGAGTTGCAAAAGTTCAAATCTTTCATGCCTAAACACATGTCCATGCAACTTTTCTTTTCTTGACAGTCTCCAAAAGTTGCCGTTTCTGGTTGAAGCGTCGCAGAAATTCTATGTTCGAGATTTTTTGAGTCCAACTAATGGCCAACATACGTCTATATGCCCACATCTCGAAAGCTTCTATACGTTTATATAAGTTTCTATATAAGTTTTTATATAAGTTTCATGAGGTCTTCTTTAATTGTCCACGCCTCGCATCCGTAAAGAAGTATAGGCCAGATGTAGGAATGTAGGAGTCAATTTTTCCACCCGCTACAATAATATCAACATCATCAAAACTATGCTTAGATAATACCATGATCTTCGTTTTTGATGTGTTCATCCGCAGCCAGCGTTTTCACTGCACTCATTAACACGATCCACAATCAGTTGTATATCTTCAGGAGATGATGCTATTAGGACTGTATCTGATGTTGTTAATATACCGACCATTTATTTTGACTCCACATTCCAGGTCTTCAATTGCTTCTGCTATTATTTTTTCTGTGTACAAATTAAATAGCATAGGTGATAATATACAGCCCTGTCGAACTCCTCTCTTTATTTCGATCTCATCAGCCTCCTCATCGCCAGATCGTACAGTAGCTTTCTGGTTCCAATACAGATTTGTCGTGAAGCGACAATTAAATACAAAAGAGAACCTAACCTAGTAACAGCAAAACAACAAAAACTGAACAAAAACAAATAATATATTCAAGATTTAAAAGATATTTACAATTTTATATAACAAAAATGGAGTATGAACATGAGGATGGATGACGTGATTTACAAATTATTTAAAAAAAGGTAATAAAAAAAGGAGATTAGTGTCGAAGCTGAGTCTGAAGATCCAAAGTGTGCTCTCAGCGCCTGGAACGAGCACGCACGGCGTAGGTGAGAAGGCGTGGGCGTCTCTAGGCGACGACCTCAGGTGAATGCGGTGATTGCAGGATCCGGCGATTTCAGGCCAGACAGGGGCTTGCAGGATCCTCAGCGACTTCAGACAGCACAGAGGCCTGCAGGATCCGGTGACTGCAGGCGGGACAGAGGTTTGCAGGTTCCGGTGACTTCAGGCGGGACAGAGGTTTGCAGGTTCCGGCGACTCCAGGCAGAGCAGAGACTTGTAGGATCCCGGCGACTTCAGGCAGAGCAACGGCTTGTAGGAATCGGCGACTTCAGGTAGAGCAGAGGTTTGTAGAGTCCAGTGGCTTCAGGCAGGACAGAGGCTTGCAGGATCCCGGGGCAGTGCGGCCCCGGGATAAGGCCTTTAGGAGATGCTTCGAACTCGAGAACTGAAGCGAGACTGAATTTCTTCACCGATTGTTCGGCTTTTGTACCTTTCTAGAGAGAACGGAAAAATTATTTAAATTAAACGCAAATTTTTTGTAAATGGTCAAGAGGAAAGAGTATTTATGTAGAATTATCGAAATAGAAACAACAGACCGGTAGCAAATTTGAATATAATTGTCATAGCGACCAAATAAACAACGATGTCAAAACATGTCAAATTTTGGTTTTAGGCTTGTAATAGAAAAACGGCAAGATGTAAGTGAAAAATGAGATATTATTGATATAGGAAAAAAGGTAGCGCAACTGCACGCACAAAGCCCGAAATTGCAGAGTTACGGAAAACTAAATAAAAGATCGAAAAAAGGTAGACTCCATTGACACCAATTTAAAAGTGCTGATAATGTGAAAATACGAAGTAGAAATGATTCGTTATTGTGTTCTTATGGTTTAAAATCGTTACAGGATCCTATGGAAATAAAGGTGATGTAAAATATCCAGTTTTGAGGTGAATGCAGAAAATCGAAATAGAATGAAAAAATGAATTTAAAATAATGTAAAATGATAAGTAAGTAGCATAACTCTACAGATTCTGGATAATACGTACATCTTTGTCGTCTAAGCCGATATCATGTAATATTGAAATTACACGGTCATGCAGTACTCTGTCGAAGGCTTTTTCATAATAGATGAAACAAAGAAAAACGTCTTGTTGAATGTCTCTGCATTTTGTACTAGAACTTGCATTGCAAAAAGAGCCTCTCTCATACCCACTCCTGTCCTAAAGCCAAACTGGTTGTCTGTGAGTTGTTCGTCACATTTAGCTCTTATTCGTCCGTGGATGACAGTTAGAAATAGTATCAATACTTGACTCATAAGACTAATCGTTCGAAACTCTTCGCACCTTTTTGCGTTGGTCTTCTTAGGAAGTGTAACAAAAGTTGAGGTTAGCCAGTCTTTGAGTAAGTGGCCGGAATTGTATATCAAATTAAAAAAAAAATAATCAGGAAGTAAGTTTAAGTACCTCTATGTGAACATTATCCGGCCCGGTCGATATCCCCGTTTTAGCTTTTCTAAGAGCGTTTGTGACTTCATTCTTTAGGATAGAATATCCCTCATTTGTGTCACAATTTACCGCTATGCTTCGAAAATCGTCAGCAAACATTGATGCGATGTATTGTTCCCATAGGTGTTTTTTTCCTGATATATCTAATATGGGAATATTATTTTAATCCGTTAGTTGATGAGTGGTCTTTTTGTGAAAGAGAAAAGATTTTATTTCCTTATGTAGGTTAAATACATCATATTTAGCATAAAGTTCCTCCACAAAATTACATTTGCACTGATACCAAGCCTCTCGAGCATAGCGCACTTCACGCCGAATTATCTTATATATGTATACTTGCTTTTGTCAGAATTCTTGTAGATTCTCCTTGCTTTCATAAGATTATATATTTTTTCTGTCATCCAACTCTGCTTAGGATTCCAATCTCTTTTCAAATGTGTCTTATTGATGTTTAATATTTTATTATTCATTGAACACCACTCTTCCTCCACCGTACGCATTATCCCTGGTTTCTTATCTGCTGCCCTCTCATTTATTTCTTTCGCCACTTCATCTTGGATGTTAAGCACTTTGAGTTTTCTCACATCTGTTACGTGGTACTGTGTTCTCCTCTTTAGTTGTTTAAGTCTACATGATATTATCGCTATGACTGGATTAGTCTGATCTTATATCAGCCCCAGGATAGGTCTTAGCACTTTTGATGCAATTACGAAAGCGATTATTTATTATAATGTAATCTATCTGATTTCTTACAATTTGCTGAGGGGTATGCTTAGGTGACGTCCATGTGTATAACCTCTTTGGTGGTAATTGAAAATAAGTGTTGATGATAGCAAAATCACACTCTTGGCAGAATTGTACAAGGGAATCACCTCTCTCATTCCTTGCCCCAAGCCCGAACTTCCCGGCTACTCTTGGTACTTCTCCTTTCCCCACTTTAGCATTAAAATCGCCAATCACTAGATTTATTTCGTGATTTTTTGTCATTTGGAGCAGGTCTTCTATTTCCTTATAAAAGACTGGAACTTCTTGATCCGACCCATCTGTAGAGAGAGCATACACTTGTATGATGTTAATATTTCTCGGTCGAAGTAACATGGTTCGGTTTGATTTTGGTACTAAGTTCACAGGCGTATTAACGTATTTTGTGTTTATGATTACTCCCACTCCATACTTGTTGGAGCTATCGTCAGAACCAGAGTAAAACATGGTGTAGTTATTATCTAGTTGATGTTTACCTTTGCCTATCCATCTGATATCACTTAGTCCCATGATGGACTCTTAAAACTTCTGACGTTCCACGTTCCTATCTTCATTTGTTGTTTTTTCTACCTGGGGATTCTTAGCACCCCTGTCCCATCCAAGGGACGCCAGGGACTCGGGGCCATTTTTTTCTATAGACTTTTCTATAAAGCTGACAATAACTAGGGAAAAATAGTGCAGTGGTTTCCCATTGCCTTCTGCACCAGACATTTTAGAGGTTACTAGTACCTCAAGGCCGCTGCTTGCCTTTTCCAATCACTGTGTTGGATGCATATGGTTATACCGTCATTTAGGTATATATCGCCTCGTCTGTTATCTAGCAGGGAGCACCACGTGCAGGTGAGGTTGGCTATTGGGTTGAATTAGATGGTAGTTCTGTTCCCCTTTTACCCCTTTAAGGAATTTATGGCTGACAATAATCCACAGGGAATGAGGTGATTGCCACCAAGCTATTTTTAATTTCTTTTGTGTATAACATACATGATTGTAAGCTGTTATTTACAAAAAAGGCCCGCTGAATTTCTTGCTGGTTTTTGCCAAGCCAGAAGTTTTTTCTGAATCAGTGGTAAAACAAAAGAGTGACTTTCAAGAACAATTATTTATAAACTGTAATGAATAAAGAAGATTCTGTTTCTATTTCTGTAACCAAATAGCCTCACTTAGACGATCAAAGCTCATGATCTTTGCGTGAAATTTGAATTTTATACTATAATTTTTATTTACGGAATGGATCAATATATTAAAACGACGAGTGATTTTACAATTTAACATATGCACTTACATAATTTAATACATAAAATGTTTAAAACTTTATTTTTAAAAACTTTATTTGGGTCTCTTTAGAAAAAAAAAAGGATACAAAGGGCGGACATAATGCCTCAGGGCATTCTCTACCAGTCAACCCATGGAGTGGTGAGAGTTTGTTGTAGGTGTAGCAATTAAAAGAAAAGAAAAAAATAAACTAAAATTAATACACATCATATGTAACAAAACAGATTATGATATAATACTATAAGTAAATGCATATATATATATATATTAACACATATTCATAATATAAATATATTTATATGCCAATAAACAAATATAAACATACATAAATACATATATATGGATATAAACATACATAAATACATATATATGGATATAAATATACATAAATATAAAGTTAATATGTACATATAAATATGATTAATTAAAAATTTTGTAATTCTAATGATTATTCAGTAAATGCTCGCGTACCTTCTTTTTAAAAGAGTAATTGTTAGGTGCTTTTCTGATATCATCAGGCAAGAAATTCCAAAGACGTGCAGCCTGTACAGTGAAGGAGTTACCATAGAACCCGGTGAGATGAGTAGGAATATAAATCTTGTTATTAGAGGAAGATCGAAGAACCCTATCATGATAAGAAGAGAGATATTGAAATCGTTCTTTGAGGTGAGAAGGTGAATATGGATCATTAAGAACTGAGAAAAGAACAAGTAATATTCTGGAATTGCGCCTTTGCCTTATGGTAAGCCACTTAAGCTGAGATCTATAATGAGAAATATGGTCATACTTACGCAGACCAAAAATAAATCTAATACAGTTGTTAAGCAGGCGCTCCAGCTTGTTAAGAAGTTCTTGGGACAGGTCTGGGTAGCACACATCTGTATAATTAAAGATAGGTAAAATAAGTTTGGATAAGTATGAGCTTAGACTTAATAAGAAGGAAGTGTTTGAAACGATAAAGGAAACGTAAGGTGGCAATGACTTTTCGACTTAATTCGGTAACCTGCACTTTCCAGTTCAGAGAGCTATCAATATACAGGCCAAGGTTTTTAACAGACTCACTAAATGGAACAATAATATTGTCATAGCAAACAGGAGGTAAGTCTGCTTGATTAACCCTGGCCAGCATCTTTTTACTTCCCACTAAAATCGCTTGGCATTTTACTGGATTCACACAGACTCAATAGCGCGAGGACCAATCTTTAATTGTGTTTAAATTCTGGTTTAATTTGTGAATTCCACTATGTAGTTCTTCAACGCCACAATGCACATATAGCTGCAGATCATCGGCGTATAGATACAATTTCCTTATTTAGTTCGTAAAATAAAATTGTGCCGACAAAAAATTAATTGCAGGATTCTTTCGCGGGCTTCTTTCTTGTCTCCTCACTTTATACTACAGAGGGCACTCACCTTCGCAGAAGGCGTTAGTGGCCGAAACAATAGCATTTCGCTGATCAACTTCTATGTATAACGCGCGCCTTTAACTAGAGTATCACCATCATCACAAACCGTAACAAGTCCAACTTGTTTGTGACGAATGCCACGCCGTTTTCGTGGGTCAGACTGGTCGCAATTTCGAGACACGTTATAAAGAGCATTTAGCCGCGTACAGGAACTGCAATCCCGATAAATCCCTTTTTGCCAAACATCTTTTGGACACTAGACACAACCTAGCCAACAACCACTCCTTTAAAGTCTTACATACGTGTAGTAAAGGGCTGCGACTGTGTGTGCTGGAAAAGTTAGAGATATTAAAAAGTAATAATAATAACGTCGCACTGCTGAATGAACATACAAATGTCACTAACTCACCTCTCTTAAATATCTTTAAGCCTGCTCTCTAATAATAAAGAGCCTCACAACATGGTCGTTTCTCACCCTCACAGTGATCAGCGATTGGTTGCGTGGTTGGAGGGTAGGCGGGCGTTGCGCGGCGGTTTGTTTTTAATTTTTCAAATGGCTGCGTAAGTCGCTGATTGGTCGCACGTTTTATCGTATGACGCAGTCGGTCGCTTCTCAAGTAGGGAGCGGTTGCGTCATCGGTCTGTATAAATAGCAATTGTTTTGGCTCGCCGCTCACTTAACGGTTAGCCACCGTAGAGTCTATATCACCTGAAGATGCCTCGTGTAGAGACGAAACACGTGTCGTATTGTCGTCAGTGGTATGTTTTTCCTAGTGTAGTGGTGTTGGGAGTAGTGGAGCAGGGATTTGTGGTGACGGGGATAGTGCACGCAATTGAGGGAGGGCGGGAGGTGCTCTTCAAACTAGGTAAGACACATCATTTTATTTTATAGTGCGGATATACGCAAAGTAATTTTTTGACAACTTTAATATAGTGGACTTCCGCAAAGTAACGCCTGATTCTATTAATTAACCAAAATTGTTAGTCAAAACTCTAAAGTATCCCGAACTAGCTACGACATCAGGACTTTTAATCCTCCCTCGATCATTGTTGCTGAATACACTAACGCCATAAAACGCGTTTTAATTAGTCTTTATATAATAAACCGAATTGAACATTGAACAGATCGCCAAGTGTCACGATCCTTACATTCCTCTTTCTCTTCTTTCAGATACATTATCTTCTTCATACATGTACGTCTAGGTATCCGAGTACTCTTGACAACTCTTTTTTTCATGAAACTGTAGTAACAAACGACGTTATTTTTAATTAATATTTATTGAACATTACACAATATATAGAAAAATAAAGGCCCACTTGATGGTTATAGTTGATAGCTACTACAGTCCACGGATATCTGCAGTCAACTACAGATAGATGCGTTGTCGCTCTAGAGGACTAAGATGACATGATTCACAACCTGGAATTAATCATGTACCCTGTGGCCTTCAGACCAAAAAACTGAAGTGCAAGCACTGATATTTGGCAGCGAAATTAGGTACGAGGGTGCCCAGACTGACTCATGGACAGAAATGTAATCCTAACACTAACCATTGTATTTATACGTTCCATATGCTCCCACTTTGAAGTAATGTAATGGCAAATAAAAAATCATCGGTTAGTATAGTATAGGTTAGTATAGTATATAAAACAGTGGTCTCTTAATAGGCTGTAATGAATGAATAAACAAAAAAATATTATTTTATGAAGAAAGATTGAAGAAGAATCAAATTCATACGTACATTTAATATCAGGCAAATTTTAATAGCGTTTTAATTCCAGGCCTATTCCCGCAAATAAGATATACGTGAACGGATCTCATTTCACAGAACTTATTACATTTTGTTATTTACTTTACGCCTCGAAGAATTTTGTTTTCAACTTCAAAGAATATATGTTAAGGCCTTAACAGTGGTTGAAATGCCTAAATCTAGGATATTTAAGTAAAAAAATCTCAATAACTGTTCATTTAATCCACAAAGAAAAAATACAAGGTAACAGAAGAAGATTTTGTAAGGGTTTTTAATTTAACAAAATTGTATTTTTGTCAACCTCTTATTAGAAAAAAAATCCCCAAAGAGTACCTACCTATCTTTGTCATATTTTGCAAAATTTCTCCAAAACGGCACAAGCTTTTTAAATAGTTCTTACACTAAAAAAAAGGTCTTAAAAATATTAATATTTTTAATTGAGAGTTTTATTTTTATTACCCGTTTTATAAGAGAATATATCCTTTTTTCCTGAAATTGAATATATTTACGCGAGCGCGCATGCTCCGTCGCCATGTAAGCTCTGTCACAGTCCGTTTTCGGATATCGTCGATGGTGGACCGCACGTCGGTGTTGGAGCGACTTCGTTCAAATATATATTAGTTTTTTAAAAGTTTATACTCAATTATAAATATTTTTATGACTAGAAATACTTAATTTAGTTAATATCTGTACACTGGTAACTGTAAATATTATTTTCTAAATAAATGAATTTTTAAAGTGCCCAAAGAAGAAGAAATTTTTGCGGCGACGTTGATTAGTGAAATTGAAAAATGCATTTTTATATAATTTAGATGTGGAACGACGAGCATGCTCTCGTTACTTAGATTTCGATCGTTTTTAATACCTATGAAATTTTATTGTTGCATATTTTTATTAATTAGTTGATAGTGAATTTTATAATTATGTATTACAATAAATATAATAAATATAAATATAAGTATGACTTTATAAAATATTATTGGGGAGAGAAATAAAGATTCAGATACTTACATTTAGGTACACTGTTATCAAATTAAATCAAACAATTTAAATAAATAAAAGAATGGTGCTTACCTAAGTA